CGTCAACACACTGGATTCCTTGGCGAACCACAATTCCATAAACAAAATTCTCCGCATTCGCTCTCTCTGTCTTGGAAAATAAAGGAAAATTATCCAGGGAATCCAGCACCGCACTCCGGAAGAGCTTAGATACGTGTGTTCTGTAGTCAGTGGTAGCCAGCCTGTGTGCTGATTGCTGTTCAGCCCGTGTGCTCGTTCTAATGCTTACAATTTTATCCTGTGTTATTGTGACAGTCGGGATAGAAGATCTCTCACATCTACTGCTTCACCGAACGCTAGTACTACGTCTGCTTTCGCGAAAACAGTAGCAACTCTTACAAAACGCTATCTATCGGCGTAGCCAAAACTGAGTGGCCAGAAATGAGAGAAAAAAGGCCTGTCACAGCTGTTTCGCTTCTCGGGAAGCGTGTGTACATTTTTTACAGGAAGTTATAAGTCGGCAGTTGTGCAGTCCTGGTCTAATGTAAACACTGCGAAAGTCGATACCATTTTTGCCTCTTCATGAGGCAATAATGCAGAGTGAAAAAAGGCACCCTAGCTTCAACATGCAGGATAACAAAAAAATAATTTTATGGACAGCGAAACGCTCTTCAAGTTAGAAACGACATGGAAGTCGTCCGCACGCGCAAAAATAAGGATAATCGGGACATCGTGGCCGGACTACAGTCAAGATACGTATGGAAGCCAACCAAAGCACTCTTATAATTCCATCAAAAAGAAGCAAAACTTCGGTGAGTGGGCAATATAGTTTGAAAGCTGGTTGGTTGGTTGTAATTAATGCAATGTTACAACTTTTTTACCTGATAATTAGCTGGAATGCAAGAAGCAGAAAAAAGAAATTCCATCAAGATTAGCCCAGAAAGCGCTGGATTTGGCACTATAACGCTCGAAAAAAGTTGGTGGGCCTTCACTAAAAGTTTTTAGCTTCGTTATCTTTATCTATTTTTCAAATTGTTCAAGATTCCAACTAATTCGTTGTTAAAATTTCGCCTCAACTTTTCTAAATTTCATTTTCTTGATAGTCTCATTTTCCCCATTCATACGCATTCCCTCCCTTCTACCCTTTGCTTGACTTCCATCCGTTATTGCCCATCAGTCTTTCGTATCTCCACCACCAGTGATGTTTCGTTCCTTGTTTAATTACTGTTTACACCTTTCTAATCTTCCCTACCCCACAATTTCGACAGAAGGAATAGGCACAGTAGGGAGGCTGTGATCGTCATTTTGCGCGAAGTGGTGTGACGAAAACCGGATACGTTACGTGAGGGAAATTTCCAAAACAAACTTTTCTTTGGCGGGCAAAGTCCACATGCTTTTCTGCAGTAGTGTCCCATATACTTCGGTGAGTGCTGACAATGGCCAAGCTGCTCCCACATCGCACAGTGTGCATTCAGATCCTCGCAAACTGTAATTAATATTGTATCTTCCTCAAAATAATTGTCCTTACTTTATGCTACAGGTGGGCAACCGGCGGCACGCACGTCGGATCTAGCCTGCAACTGGTTTTAATCCGGCTCCTTCCATTTCCCCCTCTAGGGATGAATGTGCAGCGTGAATTGTCATCGCACTAAATAATAATTGGCCAAA